GTTATAACCTACTTGGATTATTTTGTTTTTACTAATGATTTCCTGGAGTGGAACTGTTTTTATTCTTTTTAATGGCTTTTTGTGTTTTTGTAAGGTTTTTGAACACTTTTCTAGTTTTCATGTTTTCTTTGCCTCACTACATCTTTGTAACTAAACAGCACAATGCTAGTTTATTTGTTTTGGTTTAATTTGGCTTTGATACTTAGTAACATGCTTATTCTTTAATAAAATAAAGATTATAAAACTCAATTGGTTTTCTGAACAGTACACTTGTCATAGGGTCATCTGAGAGTGCTGCCTCGGCCTAGCTTACTTAGAGTCCTGTCAGTGGTGCAAGTTAAGTCTAAGGACTACAAAGCCCACTTGACCTTTTCACAATAATATCTGAGAGTACTAGGGTGTTCTTATGTGGGCAGACCTGTGAGAAGGAGTGTTGTATCATGGCTAGCTGAGTTTGGACTCATTCAGCCCATTTTAGCATGTGCAAACTCCTGATTGCTCTCTGTCCAGGCTTACACGTGTTTTTGGACCCGTGTTTGCTCGCAGTACTTCCTAACGTTTCACCAGTCTCTGTGGCTGCCATCTTCAGAGGACAGCACTCTGTGCTCTGATGTAGTTGGCTTGGGAGTGCCTGTTTAACTATCTATGTAAAAGGTTACTGATTATGTTATATTTCTGTAAGGTTGTAATGTTAAATGTCATAAGTATAAATGATAAAGTATATTATTGAACTGTATTTGAATGTTTAGTGTAATAAGATATTGTGATTGTTATATAGGATTTTGTTATTGCTTGCAGAATGTTGTCAGAGGGTAAGTAGAGTTTGTATGCAATGATGCATGTGTGTTTAAGATGGAAAACGTGTTTCCCCTCCCAAACATATTTAAGGGGGGATGTTTGTAGCATTCACCCTAAGTTACGTAATTAGATATGTAATAGTTATGAGATATATACTAATGTAGTTAAGAGGTGGGGCCACAAGAGATGTTAAAAAGGTGGAGCCTGAGAGAGGAGTCAGTCAGTCAGAGAGTCTGTGTTAGGAATCTATGAAAAGGATAGTTTGGAGTCTGAGGAGTGATTAGTAACCTGTGATATTTAAGATAGAAGATTAATATTGATGCTTGGTGAAACTGAAAGAATATGCTTATGAATTATCTTAGAAACCATTTGTAATCAATAAACCTCTTTTATTAATGTCAGTACTGAATGGATCTTCATCTTTTCTAAGTAAAGTACGTTGATAAGGAGATCAACTGGTGGCAGCGTGTGAAGAGAGGTTTTAGTTTGCCTTTGTGAGCTCTATGTTTGAGGAGACAAGCAGGAGCCATGAGGGGTGAACGTCACAAAGGGTTACAACACATATAAGGCAACCCATTACCACCACCCTAGAAAATATTTAGCGACCCTCATGGGGACCACAACTCTCTGGGTGGGAAATGCTGTCTTAAACAGTGGTTGTTTACTAGATAGAGAAACAAGTCCTTATTTCATGTAATTTTGATCAAATGGTGACTTGAATTGCAAACAATATATAAACCCCTTTAAAAATCTTTTTGCAGAGATACAGATTGCCTTAAAATTTGGAAACTACTGCAGAATGCATTTATGTACAAGGACCCATGCAGTGTGACAGAGGAAGATTATAAACCTCTGATGGAGTTTGCAAGACATCCCATCCCATGTAACAAGGTAACACTTTTCTGTCATTTTATTTTGTGTGCAAGGATTACTACTATATTGCCATATTTGCCCTGATTTCTTCATAAAGTGGTTTTGAGTAGCTGGGGAATCTTGTGATGTGAAGTGCCTATCAGATATTCCTTCTTCCATTAGGTGGCACAATTCCCTGCAAACCTATCCCATCATATAAACATTGCCCATTGAATTGTATTTAATTTATATATTTTACTTGTTCAGCAGCTTCTCTAGAATGGATTAAACACCCATAAATCCTTTTTTTTCTCTCTGTCTTTTAAAGCAGTACCCTGTCATTTTGTGTACATTGCTCATTTTTTTTAATTGGAGATTGTGGCCCTCATACTGAAAGACTCCTGCGATAGAGGAAGTAAGTTCTAGTTGTTAGCAGAATCTGATTCTGTACATGGAATGGGAGAGAGGCATCTTTGCTCAGACAGCAAAATGCCTTGACTTAGTCTTGAAAACCAAGATTACAAAATAAAGGAATGCATTTAGAATAATATAGACAGCAAGTAATCTGATATTTGGGCCAAATGTAGTATATGTTTGCAATTGTTAGGAACATCAATCATGAGAGGAAATCTGGTAAAGCCTTGAATTATTTATTGACCCTTTTACTTTTAGTCACTGTTCTGGAGCAAGACAAATGACCTTGTACATCGGTACACAAAAGCTAACCGTGATTTCCTCACATTGGAAGACACTTTGCTAGGCTACATAGCAGATGGGATTTCATGGTGTGGAAAACCCTCCAGTCCAGGTAAGAGAAAGTGTTCTGTACAGAAAAGACAGACAAGATTTCATCATGGTATGTTAGAGGGGGGAAATTGCATTGAACATGGAAAGAAGCCTTGCAGTACAAGATGTTTCATAGTGGGCAGGTAGAAAGTGATCAAAAGATTGATGGATGTACCTTTAGGATTAAAAAATGCAATAAAAAAGGGAAATAGATTAGAATGTATTTAAGTTACATACACAATTAAAACAAAGATTTCTCCCACACAAGAGGAAAAGTGGATCCTGCTTTGCTCTTCCATGAACAAAAGGATTACTTCCATTTACAAAAGGGACACTGTGTAAAATCTTAGTCTTTCCCACTTTTTTCACAAAATACAAGACATCCTATTTATATTTGTGTTTAAAATATTTTTAGGAGTCAACTACAAATCTTGCCCAAAGTGGACTGAGTGTGAGAATAACCCCAGTACAATATACTGGAAAATGGCTTCAAAGATGGTATGTTGTACAGAATTCTAGCCAGTAATATATATTATGGTTCAGTGATATATATAGTGTTTGGGATCCTATTTCCAATTACATTTGCACAAACTCTAAGTCTTGGCAGCAAATTACTGCTCATTGATTGTTGAAATGCACAAGAGTTTGTACACAGCAGTTCAAATGCAGTATAAAAAGCTGTATAGAATATGAATTGTGTGTTCCCTTGTGTGTTCCCGCACTTGAAATAATATTCATATAATTTTGATAAAAACTTTAAGAACATTTACTGTAAAACATCTATATAAAATATACTAAGAGTGCTTGAAACATTTGGCTTAGTACAGACTTGTGCTTGACAGACTTATAATAGTTTAACTTGGTATATTCTTATCAAACATAGTAACAGATCAGATTCCTAACAGACAAGCGGACTACTACTAACATAAATCTGCAATAGCTAACTCTCAGATCAATTAACTGAATAACATAACTGACATTTTAATCAATTCGGCAATTTTATCTGATTGGTTACAAAAATTAGAATATGTAAATTACACATCTCTAACTTTCTTGTATGAAAATACATACACATACATGCATGGTTGCACTTATATATTCCAACATTGATAGGGTGCTGGTTGTGTTCCTATGTTTCTGATCACTTTCCACAAAGACTTACATGATTTCCATAATGCCTGCGTAAACTGGAAATAGAATTCTGGCTGACATACTCTAACATCAGATAGTTAACTTTGAAAATAAACATTGAATAGCAAATTCATCAGATGTTGACAGTTCTTGTTAGGTATGTGTGACGTTTACCCCATGGCCCCTGCTTGTTTCACCAAACACAGAGCTCACACGAGTATCCCAACACGCCCTTTAACACGCTGCCACCAATTGATCCCTTTATCAACCTATATCTCCTGTGAAAGACTGAGGTCCATTCAGAACTGAACTTTTAAATAGAACCAGGTTTATTGATTACAAGTTGTTTTAGGAATAGTTCTTAAGCACATTCTTAAAGTTACACAAAGCTTCAGTATTTTACTTTAATCTCTTCTATCTTAATTAATACAGGTCACACTCTGACTCCTTAAACACTCACACACACACACACACACACACACACACACACACACACACACAACTTTATGAATGCTGTTCATTAGAGGCCTTGGGGATGGATGCTGAGTGGAATTGGAGGTAAAAAAAAAAGAGAGAGAGAGAGAGCTGGAAATGAATTACAAATAGCTAGTTAACAAAGGTATTTCTAAAACGCTAATCAGATAGTCAAAACAACAATATTAACAATAACAATCATCATCATCATCATCATTGCATGCCATGAAGTCAATTCTAGCTTGTGGTGACCCTTTCTAGGAGCTGCGTGGTATAGTGGTTAAACTGCAGTACTGCAGCCAAAACTCTACTCAGGATCCAGGTTCAATCCCAGGTAACTGACTTGAGTAATAATAATAATAATAATAATAATAATAATAATAATAATAATAATAATTTATTGTCATTGTAAGTATATACACATACAACAAAATTCACAGACACCCAGAGACCAGACACATGCACACACATAAAATTCCCAAACACTCCCCACCCACTAAAAGTCCCCCACTAAAAATACAAACATTTACACCGCAGGCCAAGTAACACAGTCCAGCTAATTATTCACTACTGGTGGTCTTTAAGCTCATTATTAATTGCAGATTTGTTTAGATTGATCATTGTTGGGCAGTTTAAAAAAACTTAGGCACCTCTTCCAATTAGAGATGGGCACTTACTGCCACTTGGTGGTTCGGTGCAGATTGGAGGATCTGACCCACACGTGTTGCTCAAGCACCCAGATTCTGTGCCCCACCACCTCCTGCAGGCACATTGTGAGAAGCAGCACCACAGGCTTTCCTGCCCTGCCTCCTCCTTTGAGTGGGCACCTGGAGGAAAAGGCAAGGCATGGAATCTGGGGTGCCCCTGTATCACCTGTGGGCCAGATCCACAAAACCACACTGGACCCATCTCTACTTCCAATTAGAACTAGATTGACAGTGGGAGCAAATGATGCTACAGTCTTCATGTAGATTGTATTTCCTATGCTTGTTATAAGATGGGGGGGGGGAAGGAAAAGGTGCATTTGCTCATTGTGCCTAAAATATTACACAAAAATTGTGAAGAAAGTAATACAGATTTTTGACAATTCCAGTATGTATTTACTGTTTTACAAATAGCTAAGAACTAAGGATTATGCCACTACTTGTTTTAGTTTGCAGAAGCAGCTTGTGGTACTGTTCAGGTGATGCTCAATGGGTCAACAGAAGCTGATGCATTCAGAAGTAACAGGTATCTTTACATTTGCCTATTACAACATTGGAGTAATGTAAATAACATGTAATTGGGTGTCATATCCTGGAAAACAAAACAAAAAATTCAAAAAGATATTGATAGACTTGAGCACTGGGCTGAAAACAACAGAATGAAATTTAACAGGATGAAGTGCAAAGTTCTACATCTAGGGCAGTATTTTCCAAACTTTTTCAAGTCTAGATCTCCTTTTATAATAGTCAAGTAACATCCCCCCCGCCACATTTGGGTAAATAGGCATTTTAAATGGGTGAAGAAAACACATTAAAATTGATGGTTTTTTCAGAATATAATTCTCACCTATTAATATTAATGTAATAATACATAATTATTGGAAGGGGGTGTAAATGTGCCTCTATCAGATTATGAGGATGAAAAAATGTCAATATACTTTGAATGTAATTTACCTTTTTGGGTTTGGAAATGACTCTCCCTTCATCTCTCTCTCCCCCCTCCCAAAAAGCCTCCTCAGTTAAGAGCCCTTCTTCCTGAAGCCCAAATAAACACCTCCGCACAGCCCCCTGTGCCCTCCTCTCTGGTTCTCATCCCTCACATTTTTGCCCCTCTTGCCTTCCTCCTTCTTGGCTCAGGAAGGGCCTGGAGGCATGTCCCACCCAGTTTCCTCTACCTCCATTTCACTGCCACCGCACCTGGAAGAGTGGTCAATTCAGGTGGAGCAAAACATGCCACTGTCACAATCTTGCTGCCCTCTTGGGCACCAGCATTTCTGGCACACACCTTGCACTTGCCTCATTCAGGTGTCTTTGAGCCTTGCTAACACTCAGGGCTGACAGTTTTCCAAATGTAGACACAGAGGAACAGAGAGAAACAAATGAGAGTGACTCTCCTGGAGAGGATAGGAGTGATGTGCAGGGATAAAAGGAAAATCTGCCCAAAGGAGTACAAATAAACTTCTAGGTTGCCTGAAATTCTGGTTCAGATTAAATTTATCTTTCTGTGGGCCAAGCTGATTAAAATAAAACAGCATTGTGTATACCATATTTAATATAATAAACATTTTAAAAACCCAACTAAAATACTTTGTGACACTGAGCAGGGGTGGGGAATATAGCTCATGTTGTCTGTATCTTCAAAAATGCAAAAAGAATGAACTGAGGAGCTACAGACCAGTCAGACTGATATGAATATAAGGCAAAATTTTGGATCAGATCATAAAGTGGTCACTCTGTGAGCACCTTGAAAAACAGTGGAGTAATAACTAGAAGCCAACATGGATTTGTCAAGAACAAATTCTGACATACTTGTCTTAACTCGTTTTTTGATCAAGTAACGTCCCTGGTAGACAGTGAGAATGATGTAAAAATAATGTATTTTTACCTCAACAATTCCTTTGACAAAGTGCCTCATGATTTCTAATTAGCAAGCCAACTAGGTATGGGCTAGATCAGACCTGGGCAGAGTGCGGCCTGAGGGCCACATATGGCCCACGAGCCACTCCTGTCCAGCCCACAGACAGTTTTGTGGACCAAAACTATTTATAGCTTTTTGTCCAAAGTTGATCAGTTGCTTATCTCTAACATACTGCAAAAAACCTCTTTAGTATTTGTGAAGATTAACAAGTTTAAAATAAAAACAACCTTAACATCACTATTTCATTTTATTTTTAAGTAAAGTTGGTTCAGCCCCCGAACACAGTTCAGATTTTTCATGTGGTCCCTCTATAGAAATTAATTGCCCACCCCTGGGCTAGACAGAACAACTGTCAGGTGGATACCCAGTTGGTTACAAATCATACTCAGAGATGTCTCCTTCTCAAAATGAGAAAAGGTAACAAGTGGGGTACCTCAAGGCTCAGTCCTGGGCCGAGTGCTCTTCAACATTTTTAGTAACAACTTGAATGAATGAGTGCAGAGAATACTTATCGATTTTGCAAATGACACAAAATTGGGTGGAATAGCTAATACTTTGGAAGAAGAGGAACAAAATGAAAAAAAGATATAGTTAGGCTTGACTACTGGGCTGAAAACAACAGAATGAAATTTAACAGAGATAAGTGCAAAGTTGTACACCTAAGGGAAAAACCCCAAATGCACAGCTATAAGATGAGGGATACTTGACTCAGTCATATTACAAGTGTGAAGGATCTTGGAATTGTTGTAGACCAAAAGCTGAATGTGAGCCAACAATGCAATGTGGCTGCAAGAAAGACCAATGCTATTTTAGGATGCATTAACAGAAATATAGTCTCCGAATTCCATGAGGTACTAGTTCCCCTCTATTCAGCACTGGTTAGGCTTCATCTAGAGTATATCCGTCAGCATATCTGTTCTCCTAGAAGAAACAGACAGCTCGGAATAAAGAGGTTCCAGGTCTGGTTGACCCCTATTCAAGTTGAGATGAGTCCCAGTCTCAACCAGGCTGTCCCACCAGCACCTTTTCCCAAGTCTATTCCCATTTAAAAATCATTGAGAAACCAAAATAAAATCATGAGCCTCAGAGTCATTTAGATCTCTCAGTACCCAAGAAACTATTGGACTCAAGGTAGTTAATTCTGTGGCCTAAAAGAAATCAATTAAGTTTAGTATTGGTAGCAGGTTGTGTCTGTTCAAGAGATCAAACATAATAGCTTTGGTATATTTGTTTTATTAGAAAAATTAAGATTTAAAAAGAAATTCAGTTTGTTGCAAAAGCAAAGCATTCAGAAACATTTCCATAACTACAGTTAGAACTCTAACAAACTCCAGCTAGAAAAAATAAAACAATAAAATCACTAGCTAAGAAAAATAAGGAAAAGCATTGCTTCCCCTCTAACTCTTGAAGAACTACATCCTAAAAGAATTTCAGGAACTCCAATGTCCACCTAAGAAACCATAGTCCATTAAAATCCATAAGGCAAAAAAATCCCTTTTAGAAATCCCTGATGGAAAAGTCCTTTTAGAAATCCATAAGGTGAAAAAGAAGTCTTAAAAATCCATGAGACGAAAAAGAACTCTGCAAAACTGCATTTTCTTTTCTGTGCTGGAATACCCCCCTTTTCCTCTCACCCGTTGACAGCTAATCAGGAAGAAGGAAAAGTTATCTCTCTTAGTCCTTCCAGTCTCATGAGAACACAGGTGTTGTTTTGATTTCACTGCTAGAATGTTTAGACTTCAGTAGGAATGGAATGTTTAGAATTCCGTATCCTGGGTGACTAGATGAGAACAAGGACTTCTGTGAAGGAAAACAGCATCTGGAAACTTCCATTAGAATTACACAGACCAAGAATAGATTCTTTCTAGCTAATTTCATGACTACAAATTCCATTTAGAAATTACTTTCTGGCTTCTATGACCCATGTCATCACACTGTGTCCAGTTCTGGACACTAGAAGAAGAATGCCACAACCTGGAAGAGGTTCAGAGGAAGGCAACAAGATTGATCAGGAAAGTGGAAACCAAGCCCTATGAGGAAAGACTGAAAGAACTGAGCATGTTTAGCCCTGAGAAAAGAAGACTGAGGTGAGCTATACAGTGGTGCCTTGCAAGACAATGTTAATCAGTTCTGCGGAAATCGCTATCTTGCGAAAACATCGTCTTGCGAAACCACATTTCCCATAGGAATGCAGTAAAAATTAATTAATGTGTTCCTATGGGATTTTTTTTTAAAAAAGGCACTTAAGGGGTAGGGAGCTGGGGAAGCACCATGGGAGGGCTGGCAGGGGGTCCTCTCACAGCAATCGCTGGCTTTGGAGGTCCCATGCCAGTCCTCTGATGGTGCAGGAAAAGCCTCCAAAGTGCTCTAAAGCTGGCGTGGGTAGTTTTGGGGCACCCCTGCCAGGATTCTGATGGCTTCCCCTGCACCATCAGAGCCCTGGAGGGGGCCCCCCATGGCCACATTCTTCTTGTGAAAGGCGGCCATTCGGGATGGTCATCTAGCGAAGCACCAAAACCCTAGCCAGATCCATTCGTCTAGCGGGTTTTTCGTGCTGTGAGGCGATCATCTTGCGGGGCACCACGGTAATAGCATTTTTCTAATTCAAGTATCTAGAGGAGGAACAAGATATGTTTTTGATCATTCCAGAGGGCAGAACATTTGATAATGGGCTCAAGATACAGGCAGCCAGCTTTAGGCTAAATATAAAAAAAAAATTTAACTGTTAGAGTAGTACAACAATGAAACCAGTTACCTCAGGAGGTGGTAAACGCTCCAAAACTGGAGGCATTCAAGATAAAATTTGAGAACCATCTGTTAGATCTGCTTTGATTTGGATTCCTGCATTGGGCAGGGGGTTGGACTCAGTGATCTTAAAGGCCCCTTCAGCTCAGTGATTCTATGATTCTATGAAATAAATAAGTAAATAAGTCCTCCCCACCCTTCTCAGCAGGTTTTTAGGGAATTCAGAGACCTGACAGATGGAAGGGAATGTATCGACTCTGGCACCGCCAATAGGATCCAGCAGAATTGCACCACTGGATTTAATCCCTTTTGTGACAATTGCTGATCAATCATTTATTAAGTATGCACACACAAATCCTTGTCCTGTTCTTTCAGCATCTTTGGCAGCATTGAAATTTTTAACTTAAATCCGGATAAAGTCTCCAAGGTGCACATTTGGCTGATGCATGACATCGATAGACCTCAAAGGTATGGTTTGCTGAAGCAGAATAAAATGTTTAAATGGAGTATGTAAAAATATTATATTTCTACTAAACGGATTTGCTTGTTCCCAGAAGAAGGACTTCTCCTTCATTGGTTTTACTGTTTTTGTTTCCAGAGCAAAAGCACAATCTAGGCAACCATCTTGAAATAGCTTTGTTGTTGTTAAATTAACATTATAAATTGATGCACTTAATAAACTTCTGGTCTTTCTTTCTTTCTTTCTTTCTTTCTTTCTTTAGTTATTTATTTATTTATTTATTTATTTATTTATTTATTTATATGCCGCCCACACTACCCGAAGGTCTCTGGGCGGCTTACAACAGATGTTGTAATCTTTATGGAAGAACATTGGAACGGCATTGCAGAATATTAAAGAAAGGGTTTTTTAAAAATATGTACACTGTCTAGTACTGTATCACTATTTGTGACATTATTCTCTGCCTTTTGTTTTATGTCAGAGGCCTAAGTTTAAAAAATTCTCCAAATTGTCATTTGCTATAAGTACTGTGTTACATTATCACAGTACTTATAGTACAGAACTGTACTTGAAAAGATGAAATGCTTGACTATTAAAGCAGTTCAAGCAGTTCAAGTCTGTAATCTATATATGACTTTTTGCCAGTAGAGGGCTGGATATCACAGAAAAACATTCTGTTTCTGCTGTTTGAGATTATAAATCATGGTAGAAATATCTACTAGTAGTTGTTCATTGTACAGATAGCAAACAGCAGGCAAAGTAACCCTAAACCTTAGGACAACAGGAACAAAATAAGACCCTAGGGGGAAAAGAGAAAGAAAGATGCACCCCCCCCCAAATAGTTGAGGGCTAAAAGAAGAAACAGAAGTTAAAATAGGGAAAGGAAGGGGAAAGTAACAGACAGTGTATACCAGTTCAGTCTGGAAACAGCAGTACAGTACTGAATAAATCTATGTTATATAAGAGATACAGAAAGTTCTAGCATATGGATGTACCTGTATCCCCCCTTTTTATTTTTTGAAACAGAGATAAACACATATATTTTGTTCCTCTCATCATTATGATCCTGATTTAAGTGCCTTTGGCCAAAATCCTCTTGAATAATTGATTTTATTTATTTATTTCGAATATTTTTACTATGCCTTTCTCCTTGAAAAGGACCCAAGGCAGCTTATAACATTGAAATACAATATTAAAGTTTAGAACAATGAATATATAAGGGTAATTAACATCATTAAAGGACAATATTTAAAGCTAAGAACAATGAATATAAACAGGCATCTTACATAATTAAAAGGCAGTATTAAAGCTAGAAACAATATGCATACAAATATTAAAAGAGAAAAAAGTCACTCTGAGAAATGAAGAACACAGTAACAATCCATCTAAAAATCAACACAATAACAATCTATCCAAAAATCACAAACAGGTAGCTAGGTTACTAAGGGAAGGCTTGCCTGAAGACAAAGGTCTTTGCCTGCTTGTGAAAGGACAGCAAAGATGGGGTCAGTCTATGGTGGCCTAAGTTATGCCCTCCTCTTGTGGGAGGGCATAACTTAGGCCACCATAGAAAAAATGACATCATCTTCATCAGCATGACCAGATGTCTGGGCTTTAGCTAGTGAGTGCTAATTTTAGTCCTCTCTTGGATGCTGGTTGATGCAGTTGACATAATTTCCTCTACAACAGCATAAATTGTGCAAGATGATTTTGATCATAATTTTCACATGTTCTGAGTACTTTTTTGCTTTTAAAAAATTAGGATTAATAAACTATTGGTTTGCTCTTATATATCAGGGAAGTAGAAAACCATGGAAAGATTGAGTGAAGAAAGGAGATGACAAATATTAATTGTATACTTGGCAACAGAAGTAATACATAGGACTGTATAAAGCTCTTCCCTCTCCTGCAACCTTTATGAACATTAAGTCCAGAATCTAAACTTACCTACATACATCATTAGGTAATTCACTGAAAAAGAAAAGGGGGGAAATTAAATGTTAATTCAACATCACCCCTGTTTTTCTTGTGTTTTTCTGGTAGTGCTTCTGAAGTTCCATGGTGGAAGAAAGCATAACAAAAGTACTGAAGTGTAATTTACATTATAAGGGAAGGAATATTATTTGTACTGATTATTTCTGTGTTAGCCAGATCCATTCCCCCCTTTTGTTGTTAAACAAAAAATAGTAAGGCAAAATATCATTATTGCTGGTTTTTATATTTTCCAAAGTAGGATTCTTAGAGGATGTAATGGGGTGGCAATGTCAGGGCAAGCCCATTCATAGCTTCTTATTTTTAGGTACAAGAGGGAGAATGGCTCTCTTCTTGTAAATGAAGGCACTGGAATTTCAAAAAGCATTTAGGAATGAGACACTTTTCTTTTCTTGAAATGCATTTACAACTAATACAGAATTTAGAACACTTTACAGTGGTGCCCTGCATAGCGATGTTAATCCATTCCGGATTAATCGTCGCTATGTGGAAACATCACTTAAACGGAACGGAAAAACCCATAGGAATGCATTAAACTTCGTTTAACTTCGTTTAATGCGTTCCTATGGGGATAAACTCACCGTTCAGCGATGTTCCTCCATGGGGGGGGCATTTTCGGTGCCTCTAAAGTGAGGCAACACAGCGGGACAGCGATTTTGGAACCGCGACCAGCAGACCGAAAATGGGGCCTTTGGCATTTTCCCCCAGCTGAGCGGCAGGATCTTCAAAAGCCCGCCGCTCAGCTGGGAGAAAATGTCGGCAGTTGGTCGGTGGTGGCTTTGGAAGAACCCTGAAGCCACCGCCAACCGCCGACATTTACCTTCCGAGATCTCAAAGGGCTTCCCCCCCGACAGAGGAGGAAGCACTTTGGGAGCTCCAAAGGCAAACAGGCTGGGAGAAAGAGCTGGAAATTCGAATTTCCAGCCCTTTCTCCCTGCCTTTTT